AAGCTGGGGTTAGGTGGGCTTCTCTAGCTGCTTTTATTACCACTACTCTTACTGCTGTTACTTCCTTGAACCTGGAAGATCAGCACGTTTAGGTACAGCATGGAAGAGGGGTTAGCTAGTCTTGACAGGAAGTCTCTGTAGGCCATTTCTCAGACTTCAAACACCCAGGGGAAGACTGTGGTTGCTAATTCTTTTCACACAGTAATCAATCATTCATAACACTTATACTTGGACTCCAAAAGGAAATCTTTGCAATCCTTATTGAGCCTAGCCCATACAGGTATTGGCTTTACCAATTACCACAGGACAGTTAGTTTTAGAGCTCTCTGTAGGCCAAGCTGAGCCCATGTCAAAAGACACATTCTATCTGTGTTCTCCACTTCACTCACTCGGATTTTCCTCCATTCCCTATAGGTTATTAGGAGAGCTCCCCCAGGAGCCTTAGCTTCAGAAAACAAAAGCAAAGAAAGCAAGATAGGTGCAGAGCAACGCAGAAGAGAGCGGCTAAGAGGGAGTCAAAGAGCCTCACCTCTGTGCATTAGAATTAGTGCTTGTGTGGGTCACTTGTGAAGATGAAGGAGCAGGAATCAGGGCTTCTTCCTGCTGCCTCTTACAGGCTGAGTTTCTTTCGGAGACCCCTCTGTTCAGAAAAGGTCGGGATTTTTGACTTTGCAGCAGAAAATGATTTGGGGATGAGTTGGTATGAGCAGAATGGAGTTTCAGCACAGGAATTACTAGAGAGAGAGGGTGGTAGGTCACACACACCCCAGTGTGGCCATGAGATTCTCAAGCAGGGCTTCTCCTAAATTAATTCTGGAAATCAGTTTGTCAGAATATAAATTTTACAAGTCTTTACTTGGGTATAAAGTTTGAATTTGATCCATTGTCAAAGGAATATGTAAACTGTAAAATTATGCTTCTCATGTTTTTAGACTTAAAAAAAATCAATCAGAACAAAGCCACCATATCTCCTTTACTCTGTGTCGGGCCTTCAGGATGGAAACATCTTTCACTCCTCCTAAACTTAAATGATCTGCAACCAAGAGAGGTTCCTTTTGATTTCCCAGATCTTCTCTGAGGATTCCTCTACCAAGCATCTCTGAGCAGACCTCCATTGGGACAGAACAGCTTTCTCTCAGTTCCCCCAGATCCTGCAAATGTTGTTGTATGCAATCTGCTAGAATTACATATTCTAACCCATGTAGTCCTTCTCCAGCCTGTTACTGTGGCCTCACTAGTAGATTAATGGCTCCAAAACTACTTATTGCTCTAAGGAAACTTATCAACAAAAGTTTTAGTATGTCTAAAGAATTTTCCAGATGGTAGCAGTTGCAAAGATAGTGAATTAGTCTCCAAGATAGGGATTTCTCTTATAGGCTCAAGATCTTCCTCCAGCAAAGAGGAAAACACATAAGATAAAGTGCCATTGTTCACTGGCCTCTACTAGCAAGAGCTGAGTAGTAAAAGCCCCAAGGCCTTCAAGCAAATGAGCTTATCTAGGTCATTCATTTTGTGGTCAAAGGCAGGGTTTGCATGTTGGTGAGTACAAGGCCATAAAGAAAGTAAGACAGTAAATAAAGACTTATTTGCTGCAGATAAGGAACGCACCAGGTTATTTGCAAAGCAATGTTCTCTCTGAATAAGTAATCATAAGGATTATATATGGGAATCATACATATACCCATACGGCTGAGGCACATTGTCAGCATGCTCAGTGCAACACAGATCATGTGTTCAGAAAGGAAAGAGAGTGGATATGAGCATGTGTTGGTATGCTTAGCATAAGGCTTCCTCAAAAGGTCAGAGGGCTAGGGAGATGATTTGGTTTGTAAAGTGCTTGCATGCAAACATGAGGGCCTGAGTTTTCTTCCTCAACATTCATTAAAAAAAAGAAAAAGAAAAAGAAAAAGAAAAAAAAAGCAAGGTTTGGCAGCATTGATTTGTAATCCTAGAGCTGGAGAGGACAAGAGGGTGTCTGGGCTTGCTGTTCAGTGCTGGCTTTATCTGTGTGTTTCAGATTCAGAGACTCTATTTTAAAGAATAAAGTAAAAGGCAATTGAAGAAGACAATTGACCTTAACTTCTGGCACCTGTACATACATATATATGTGTACATGAATGTGTACAGAATATTTACACACGCACACACACACTCACTCTCTCACACACATAGACACAGACACACACAGATAAACACACACACAAGTGAGAGTGACTTGGTGAATTTAGCTGGTGCATTGTAAGTTTTTCCAACATGGTTTAGTTGGGGGAGAAAAAAGGAAAGAAAGAATGGCTTTGAAGGCGCAGACATTCATTATCTTTTAATGGGGCATAGCTTCAAAAAGGGCTGGCTCATTTAGCAATGAACGAATTGATGGCAAGTCTGATTGACTATGGAAGGTAAAGATTTGGGGTTAACCAGGCTTTATATATGAGGTTTGTACAACTTCATGGATGGTGATATTGCTTACTGAAGTGAAGTAGGAGGAATAATATTGGGAGGACAAAGGATTAATTTAGACACGAATGTTTTCCTATGGGGTCTTTTAAAGTCATCTAAGTGGAGACAGTCCTTTGACACATGACTGAATACGTAAATCTGTTGTTGAGAAACATGTGTTTTTTGAAAAGTAGACTTATTCATCATTAGACTCTAATGACAGCTGAACTTGTGGGAATCTGAGACATGTGAGCTGTAGAGTGAGGAGAAAGTGCCGGTAATGATGAGGTAAAAAGTGAACACTAAGTCAAATAATGAATGAGTGGTGGCAGAGACACTGCCGAGATGGGAGAGAACTCTCAAGACACTTACCTTGTGGGAGTGTGGGATGAGAAAAGAATGGGATAGTAGTTAAAGGAGAGTAAAGTATTCACATGGCTTTCCCCCTTTAATATCGGAGATGCCTGAATTATCAGCGGGATGGCTCAGCCAGGAGAGGTCCAAACCTGATGATATGAGTTCAGTCCCAAGAGCCTAGGTGGTGAAAGGCGAGAACTGGTTCCCAAAAGTTGTCCTTTGATCTCCATGTATGTGCCATGGAACATGCTGCTGCCTCCCAAATAAACAAATGTAATGACAGTTCTTGAATATATTTAAAATCTTATGGAAATGATACAGTAGAAGGAAGTATAAAATAAAATGTGCAGTTGTTTCTAAGTTAGTTTAGAGAATAGAAATAGATTTACAGTGGGAGTATTGCTGTAGGTCTGAAAGGGGTTAGATGTAGAAAAAAGACAATTCAAAAAAGACACTGTATCAGTAAAGAAGTATTTAAATAAAAATAAAATTGAGACACACTGATATAACTAGTATAATTTTGTACAGTAGCAAAATGCCATCTCCATCTGTTAAGTCTTCACATAGTTGTGTTGATAACACTCCACAAACCAAAAGTATTTAAACTGATTGGATTCTCTGGTTGAGTGAGCATCCGACCAAAGTCACTAAGCAAAGATGCATGGTTCTTCCAATCGGGCAGCTCTCTAATTCTACACAATGTCATGCAATTATTTTTACATAATTACATTATGCCAGAAAAACATTTAAAAACAGGTGAAATAGCACATTGAGGCTACTAAAAAGCAAAACTGAAATGACCTAGTAGACAAACACCAGTAGATCTCTGACCCTGACCACTCTGTGCCATTTTAACCTGCTGTCACGGGACCCTGTTGGGTAAATATTTGCCCCTGAAGGCAGGGGAGACTCCAAATGCCTGAAAGGGTCTGAAATTGGGGGTTATATCTATTCCCATTAATTCATCATTCAGATACTTATAGTGATATTTATTGACTGTTAAGTAAATATTTCATTCAATCAAATCTTTCTTTTGACACTCTAGAAAAGGTCATTAGTTATAATCCTTCTAATTTGTTTGCTACAATGACCAATGAGACAGGTGTGGATGAAGGTTAGTCTTACATGTTACTGGTGACAATTTAAAATACTACCTTTGAACATATTTGGCCGCAGGGCATGATGGATCATGCCTTTAATTGTAGCACTTGGGAGGCAGAGGCAGAGGCAGAGGCAGAGGCAGGCAGATCTCTGTGAGTTCAGGGCCAGCCTGGTCTACACAGTGAGTTCCAGGACAGTCAGAGCTACATAGAGAGGCCCTGTCTCGAAAGAAAGAAAGAACGAAAGAAAGAAAGAAAGAAAGAAAGAAAGAAAGAAAGAAAGAAAGAA